TGACCCGGCTCCCGAGCGAAGGGGCGGTGCCCCGTCTTTGTAAATGGACTGTTGTTTCTTTTAGTTTGTTGGAAAGAAAGGAGGCTCAAAGGAGTTCTTAATACTGAAACAAAATTTTTAAAAAGAATAAAAGAAAGAAAAGAGACGGGCAGGGGAGGACCCAGCGACTTGTTTCGTCCTGGGAGATTCCGGGGATCACTCCACGGCCCAAATATGTAGGGAATCACTACTTGCCTTGCTTCCTCCTTGAGCAAACAGCTGCATCACATAACTTCAGGAAACAGGATTTCCAACATTAGGGTCACTCTTCCTGAATCGCTATTTCAAATGATGGCGAGTTGGTTCCCAGGCTAGCCCAGCCCAGCCCAGTCTGGCATATTCTTATCAAGAAACTGGAAGAAGCAGAAAGGTAATTAAACACAATCAAGTTCTCTGTAGATAAAAATAAAACAAAAAAAGACAAAACCATTTTTAAATTTCCAAAGTAAACTTCTAAATACACTTTTACACCTTTTCCAATAGCCCAGCCCACCATGCCTCTAACCCAATGACGAACGGCCGTTGCCCAACTGTGCGGTTGCCTTTCATGACTAGTGATTGTGAGATCCTTTCAAGGGCTCTGGGAGTCGGTGACTCACGTGGCTCCGCAGGTCAGAGTTCTCATAAAATCAGTCATCTTTCCTTCTTTCTGACTCAGGCTTATCACAGCACTACTTTTCCTAGAATGGACTTGCTTATGCCAATGGACCATAAAGGGAAGTGCTCTGAGAACTTAGGGGCAAAAAAAATGTTGCCATAACATTTCCTCCCCTCCCTCCCAACTTGACTCTCAACCACTTTCCACAATTTGGCTGGAAATTCAGCCCACTTTGAGGTCCCTCTTAGCTCCTATAGGTCATACCACCACCTCAGGGGCTTATGAGGGCTACTAGAAAATTTGGGAAGGCCTCAATCTGTCTGTTATCTTTTTCCCTAACATGTATTTGATGCTTACTTTGTGCCAGACACTTTTAAGAACTTCACAATTAAAGTTGTCCCCAACACCTGATGAAATGGGTAATTACCCCCACTTTACTAATGGGGAAACTGAGGCCCAATGAGATCAGGTAGCTACTCAAAGCACAAAGCTGTTGCATAATAGAGTTGAGATTTGAACCTAAGTGCTTTGATGCCAGAGACAAGGGTCAAAGCCGTGGCATATTCCACCTCTACTTAAAGTGCTGTGTTCCATTGCTTTCATGCTTTCATACTGACCACCGTGTGTTAATCCTTCTCCTTCAGTCAGATACAAGGGGGGACAAGGGAGACAGTACCCCTCATTGCAACCACATGGTCCACAGGTTCAACATGTAGTCTTCCACTATCCAGAGGTTCTGCACTTCTGGGACGTTGAATTCTATCAAGGTTCGGGGGCCCATCACCACCCTATTTCATAATTTCTCCCAGGCTCAGAAGAGCCAATTCTCCCCGACCCCTATTAGGACACTTCCTCTTCTTCAAATATCAGCCACCACCTTTTCCATCTTTTTAGCAACTCCAGCTTAACTTGATGACCTTGCTCTTCCAAAACAAAAGCTGTTTCCTTTCCCCACAAGGTGTTTTTTCTACTTCCTCCTTAGTAACTTCCCTTATGTCTTAGCTCAGTTGTCACTTCCTTAGGGAAGCCCTCCTCCTTCTCAGCTAGGTGAGATCCCTTTTGTTCCTAATATTGGCTCCTGTAGCACCATGGCAGTTACCCAAGTTGAGATCTCAGATGTATTTCTGTTTATTTGATGAAAGTTTCCTTCCTCCACCAGGCTGTGAAGGTGGCTTCTAGGTTTGGGTTTTGCTTCACTTTTGTTTTGTTGTGTTTGCTCCCCCTGAAATCCCCAGCACCTCCAGGTCTCTGATAATAGATGCTCAATTAGTAGATATATATTTAATAAATGAAAAGCAGTCTAAAAGTCAGAGGATAATGTTTTGACTCTCGTTATTGAAATTTAAGAGGCAAGTGAATTTTTCTTTCTTTTTGCTAATGAGTCTGTCTTCAGCAGCAAAAAATAAAATAAAATAAAATAAACAAGCAACGAGGAGTTTGTTGATTACCCCCTTTGTGTTTTCCTAGGACAGCTGAGTAGGTGATAGAAGAGTTTGGGGGCATATATGCTGGAAAGCAACACTGCCTATCTCATTTGGTGAAATTCCAAAACTGCCAAACTTTACCTCTGGAAAGAGAATCTTCCCCCACCCTGAGTTTTACACCCTCTAGGGATGTCTCACTTTACTGATTATAATTTTTTAAGTTTCTGATGCAAATATAAACATGAACATAAATACCTAAGAATGGGTGACACCAAGAATGACTTACCCTAAGATGGACCCCCACACACAGCACCCATGAGTTGTGGCTCTAATCTCCACAAGACAGTCAATGCATATGCATGTCAAATGTAGCTTCGACATTCTTCCAGCCCTGCTACACACAGCAACAATGCACACAACACAACCTTAAGAAGCAAAATTGACACAAATAACTAACTGTGAGAGGTAGCAAACAGGAAAATGGGGGTTGCAGGTGTTTGCACACTCTGTGGCAAAGAAAGCAAGGTTGTGAGGACACGCCTGCATCAGAAGGAAGTCTGGGACCACAAGAACAACACACTGTTTTTTGATGGTTGAATGGTGGAGGTGGAAGAGTCAGTAGCCATATTCTTTTTTTTTTAATTGGAGTCTTACTCTGTCACCCAGGCTGGAGTACAGTGGCACATTCACAGCCACCCCAGCACCAACCTGTTGGGCTCCAGCAATCCTTCCGCCTCAACCTTCCAAGTAGCCATAACTACAGGCACACACTACCACACCCAGCTAATCTTTTATTTATTTATTTACTGGACTCACCATGTTGCCCAGGCTGGTCTTGAACCTGTGGACTCAGGCAATCCACTCGCCTTGGCCTCCCAAAGTGCTAGGATTACAGGCTGAGTCACTAAGCCCAGCCACACCATATTCTTAATATCCAAAAATTACGTTATTTCTTTTTTATGCTCATGCCATCCAGTTTGTTGTTGTTTTGGCAGATGCAACACTAGTCTTTTTAAAGATATTAGATGGAAGAATGACAATATGTTCCCACTTCCCCACTAGAAGAGAATTTCTCAAGTGACTTCATTTCCACTCTTATCAGCAGATGTGGTTCTCCCTTCATAACTGCTATGGACTGAACATACCCTCTAAAATTCATGTTGAAACCTGATTCCCACTGTGGTGGTATTAAGAGGCAGAGCCTTTGAGAAAGTGACTAAATTATGAGTGACCTTATGAATGAATTAATGCCCTTATAAAAGAGGCTTCAGAAAGAGTTTGCATCTCTTATCTTTTTGCCTTCTGTCATGTGAGGTTGCAGCAAGCTCCATCTTGAAAGCAGAGAGAAACTCTTACCAGACACCAATGTTGGTGCCTTGATCTTGGACTCTCCAGGCCCCAGAACAGTAAGAAATAAATTTCTGTTCTTTGTAAGTTACCCAGTCTGCGGAATTTTGTGGTAGCAGCACAAATGGACTCAGACAATGCCATGATCCATCTCCAATGAGGTGTCCAAGGTTACCATTGGATGGAAGGTTGTCTACAGCACTTGGGTGGGGGGAGGAGGTAGTTTAGTGGGCAGAGTTCTTGTGTAAGGACATCTCATCTCTGGAACCCTTCTACCCTGGTCTTTGGTCTCCACAATACTTCAAGGATAAGGATCAAAGTCCCAGCAGCTTCCAAATGCTCATTCTTTTTTTAAATGGAAGACTTGTACAGTCTGGGGAGTTATTTTAACCTTAACTCCCCTTGACATAGTCTCCTAAGCTTTTACGTCTTGGTAGGTTTGAGTCTTTTCTGGCTAAGGGCATCTATACTGGCAGAAAGCCAGGGGGACAGGATTCTTTCCAAGAAGAGTAAAAGCCAACTCTCCTTCCCATGGGGCTACATCAAGCCCATGGAAAATATGCTTGCCATCCTTTCCCTGCCAAGCTCTGAAAATGGAGGCATTTCTTTGACTGATTCCCTCAGGTCCATCCTGCCCAATCGTCTCATCTGTGGGCTTTTTGAGGAACACACTGGATCCCACTCCCTGAATCCCCCCAGCTTCAGGGCACACAGATGAAGCTCTCTGGGTGGCTTTCTGAGGCCCTTCTCACTTGGCTTAAGATGAGAAGAAAAGCTTTTCTCTCTTTCCTCATGAGAGATAGAAAACATACTTGCATTTTACCAACTGTATCCAGAGAATTTTTTTCCTTTTTTATGTCTGTAGGTGGATGAAGGACTAATAATAGCATAATAGCAACAATAGCTAGTATTTGCTGAGCTCCTTCTAAGTGCCAGGTCCTGTCCTGAACACTTTCCATGGCTTTTTTTATTCTTTAATCCTCACAATGATCCCATAAGATGGAGGCTCTGATGATCTTCATTTGACAGGTAAGTAAACTGAAGGATGGAAAGATGAACTAATCTGCCCGTGGTCACAAAGCTGGTAAGAGCAGAGTCAGGATTTGGACCCAAGCTTTCTGGCTCTTGAGCCCAGGCTGTGCTGACTACTGTGAATGACCTAGCACCCTGCTTTAGAGGGTAAAGATGTTTGTCATCTCTTTTGTTCTCAGCCTTCTGAACCTAAGCCAACATTTTGAGACAATCAGAAACATTGCATTTAATATCTTCATGCATGATTTATATATACATATGAAGTTGACCTTTGATCAACCCAGGTTTGAACTGTGTAGGTCCACTTATACTTTAATTTTCTTCTGCCTGTGCCCCTCTAAGGCAGCAAGACCAACTTCTCCTCTTCCTCCTCCACACACTTAATGTGAAAATAATGAGGATGACTTCTGTGATGATCCAGTTCCACTTATGAATAATAGATACACTTTTTATCTTCCTTATGATTCTTTTCTTCTCTCTCTCTCTCTCTCTCTCTCTCTCTCTC